TGCTTGCTTTAGGATTTCATAGGTTTCCGTAGCCGTTTTGGCGAGTCTTTGGCAAAATTTGATTTGTTCATGAAAATCCGCCATTCCGAAATCGCAGGAGGGTCGGTGTAATGCACTACCAAAACGCCCGTTAACTAAGAAACAAATGCTAATTCGATGATGCCGGCTGGCACACTGATTCACTATGAATGTAGGCCGCACCCCCTAGCGGCAGAAGCTCGTACTACATCCGGTTCGCCCTCTATTGACACAGTCTTGAAACTTTCCGATCGCACCTCGTAGTTTCCACATGTCCCTGTTGCAACTGTTCGCCTCCGTCCTTGCAGATCGCAGCTTCCACTACAATGTGTCTGGTAGGGATTGTTGGGTCGTCGGCATCTCTCAGGGTTCTTTGCTCAGCTCAGCTGGTCGGTATGCATCGACTCACTCTCATTCCGTGCCACGGCCAGTTCGTAATAGCCAGATTGAACACTCGGATTGATTTTTGGATGGAACACACTATTTATTTTGGACCTGCGTGATCGTTGATCTACATATGCTGATCCCACGACGTTGTTAAATTCACACTTCTCTCAAATGCACAGCCACACACTGACTTCTCAGTCACCTCCTTTCCTAATATTGTAACTTTTAATGTAATGTAATGCAATCTCGTAATGTTGTAATCCTGCAATCTTGCAATGTAATCCAGTGTAATGTAATCTCGCAATAACCCTCTGCGGCCAAAATAACCCCTTTTTACACTGTAAGCACCCTTAAGGCTGGACAGCCAAAATTTCCAGCTTTGCCCAAAAGGAAATGTAACATCAACTCCCATTGGTGTGGGTCCAGGTTCGGTTCGAAAGACCTCCCCCTTTTCACCCAACCCTTAGGGAGTCCCTCCCACACTTTTACTTCCAAAAGGGCATCCCTAACTAGCGGAAAAACCCACTTAGGCTAAGAGCAGGTAATTCATGTATAAGGGAATTTCCAAGTCTGGAAATATTCCAGAATATAAAGGAAATACAAAAGGAATCATAAACTAACAAAAGAGAAAGCAGGACAATAAGTGGCTAATACAAAAATCATATGACCTACCACATAAACGTTGGATTTCTTACAAGTATAGAATTAGCATACACCAGTACAGGGATTGATGAGCGGTTCCAAAGTCCACACAGAAATTCACTACGCCACGTTAGGTGGCATATATGAATTCCGAAACTGCACCATTACAACGCTCATAGAAAGGTGGCAAGACACCATGTTTAAATGAGAAAAGAAACTTACAAACTGTCGATGCTTATACTCTGGGTTACCCCTTCAACCCGGAGGGCTACTTACAAACCCCGGTTCAAACCACACACATCAATCAAGAAAATAAATAGGCACCAAAAACTTTGTATGTTCAAAGTTATGAAATTAATATAGCTTTATGTAACCTGCGTTCTGATTACATCGCCTCTCTTCCACAAGTTCGAAATGATTTCATAAATTTCAAGTTTAGTTCCACTGACTTGTTACTAAACCAATTACCTGTTCGTGTAGTAGCGTAAATAGAATTATGTAACAGTGGTAGTTTTCAAAAAGTAAGTTTAATCTACAAAATATCTTAATCGAAAATCCAGGAGTATTGGCTGCAATGAAAGTCAATTTATTTTTACTCAATCATCTGAAAAATCGTTTTTCTATGTATTTGATAATATTTAGTCTCGTTCTTTCCTTTTTAAGTACTCCTAAAATACGCGATGTAATGTTACAAACCACTCTTTTGTCCTTGTAACACGGCACAAAAGCGAGAATTTTATGAGCAATATAATGAAAATTGCAATTCTGTTCCTGACGTTAACACCTGAACACGCCTATTTGATGGCTAAATTCAGCCAACAGGCAGCATGGTAGGTTAATTTGCCAGACACTGGTACACCATTAAGTTACCTGCCGACTGCCGATGCTGCCCCACATCGTTGCCCCAATGGTAATAAATCATTCTAATAAGGTCTCGTTAAACCTCGATCCGCAACATTCTTTAAAGACTCGAACAGAAAGTCTTCCTTACGATTATTTTCGTAAACACTCCTAACGCCACTACTACGCTGTTCCACTATATTTACTGTTTCTTTAGTCAATACCGAGGATGTCAGCAAAATTAACCAAGACTTCATATAAATTCATGTACTGAGTCGCATCATTTCACTTTGCACCTCCTATGAAAAATACAAAGCACTTGTAGGTCGCTTCTGTAAGTGACTCGATGAAACTTACATTACGGTAAGTCGCCGAGGAACTAAAACTGCCATCATGTACCTTCAGAACATTTAGAGGTTCACTATTTCTTTGGCTACTTAAGGATAAACACTGAAGACCACAAAGGATTATTCACTGCCGCAATAATTGGTTTGATGCGGGTTTATATTCTGATAAATTTCTTCAAACACAAATTTTGTTGCAACTTGACGCTGTTTTAAGATTTACGTTCGTCTGTCGTCAAAGTTATGTTTTTCAAAGTTTCTCTTGGTCTTTCCTAAGTTCTGTCATCTATGGGTGTGCCATTAAACTTGAAGGGACCCATGGATTTTCACGAATAAAAGCGAAGAGATGGGGGGTGGAGAGTTTAAATTCCCAGCCTTCTCCTTGGTTACACCACTACGTTCATATAATACCGGCACGCGGAGTGCATTCCTCACATATAGTCCTCATGAAAGGGCATGTCTCATGCACATCCACATTAACTACTAATGGCAGAAAAACACAGCTTTTACGAATGGGAAAATCTGGCCGCAATAAAAGAGCATCAATAGTGGCAAATGTGGCGTCATATGCCACGGCGACGTCCGCAAACGGGCACTGGAAATGTTGACCTTAAAAAACCTTTTCTTGAAAAAGAAACCAAAACACAAAAGCAGGCTTGTAAACCTGAGAGGTTCTTTGGTTCAAGGATGTCAACAGTTCCACATACAACGCCACATGCATATGGGCAAATGCATAATGCCTTTCTGGTGAAAAATGCAAAGCGATCTGCCAATATGTTGCTGATTAATGAGAAATTTCAAAGTCAACGATGGTTTAATTATTGCAGGGCTTGCAAATCTCATGCTACTTATCAGTTTTCACACCAAAAACTTGTATGTCAACTTTTATCACAACTATTACATGTTATTTTGCTCCAAAGTAATGAGAATTCCACTTGCATCACTTCATATGAACAATACAATAATTATCCTTATTACAAAACTGTAGGTACATGGGAAGCCTAATCCAAAGTACATTTTTATACATGTAATTCAAGGCGAAGTTTTATAACACTATCAATTTCTTTCCCCTTTCACTTGTTTTGGAAAATGTAAAACCACATCTTCAGCCATCAATAAATCAAGTTTCATAGTGAGATAATAAAACGGGGAAAACACAATCATTGTTCGTTGAAAAGGAAATAATAACCAAAAATTTATTCTCTTCTATAATAGGATTCCTCATTCTTATTCAATTGTTCCAAAATCATGGATCATATCAATGCAAAACAATATTTACTTCAGTGTTCTTTTCTTCTGAGGCATACAATCAACCCACTTTTTTTTCTTGACTGAGGATATCATCAATACAAAAATTCTGAGAAATCATGTTGAAGGTATAAATGTATCCATATGAATCCATTCAATCTGCAGTACATTGTTCCATTTGGTTGATACATCACTTCATAATATGAACATGGCCACTGAATTCCGTCATTACCAAGAGTTCCTCAGTGAAGAATGTTCTCCGGCTATGAAGCTGCAGTGTCATTTTGCAGTCCATATATATGCACAACATATGGTGTCAATGATTTAGATTCTCACACAGATTGTGTGCAAGAATAACGCTTTGGTGAACTGAAGGTCACACGTCCTTTCGAGTTAAAACGCAGTATGCTTACGTATCACACATCAAAAGATGTAATAATACTATCAGAACTTTGAGCAGCCGGTATAATAACGCTCCGACGCCTGTAAACACTTTTGTGTATATTTCACTGTACCACTCCTAAGTGCACGTCCGCAAAAGTACTCTACAAATATTCCACGGAAAAGGAGCAATGGCGGGACTAGTCTTTTGTTCTTGGGGCTGGGTAAGCTCGGCGAGTCGGCAGGCAAGTTCAAGAACCTATAATATGTCTTATAGCATATCACACAAACTTACCTTAGAAGACTTGTGAACTACCAAGTTTGGTGTTGAACAATTAACAAATTTGACGAATATCTGGAGAAACTCATAAGCAGAAAACGTTCTTTTCTTCTTCATTCTCTATTTTGACGAGGACTGGGAAGGGGTTTTCACGAAATAGATCCAGGGACCTGTAGTTTCGTATGTTGACGGTAGGTAGTGTTCGCTGCGCAAACGATGGTGTCTGCAGTATATAGTTCCTATATCGATTGACATGTAAAATGCCCCTAAAAACAAATTATCCGTTCTTAGGACACTGTAGCAGCACGTATTATGTTTTACAAATACATTTTAAAAGCATCTGAAATACAGTCAATATGGTAATGCCTTAGTTTCACCACAGTATATGGAAATTGCTTCGTAGCCCTATTTTACCACCTACATCAGCAGCCATCTTATGAGATTCTAGTTCTGACCAATCAAATCTAGCCACCAAGTCCGTTATATATATTACGTCGGCAGTACTCCGCAATGTTATTAAAACCGGTGAAGCTTAATTTGTGCGTTGTGATTTTAACCGAAGAACAAGTTAAAATCGAGGTGATTTTAAATCTGTGTTTTATTTATATGTAACGTTTTTAGTGCTAAAACTTGTGTTGTTCTTTTGCAGGAGTTTGATTCTGTTACGTATCTTGGAAATTTGTAGGGCGTGTATAAATGCGCCCGAGACAGCTTGGCGTAGCACATACGACCTTGTGTAATCGGAGTACATGTTTCGTCAATGGCTGTTCTGATTGGTCGGTGCTGTCGGATTGTACATTGCTTTCATGCTTTGTTTTGCGATGGCAGCTGAATGCTGTGGAAGCCTTGTGCGTGTACGATGACATTATTTTGACTACATTTACATTCCCAATCATATAGTTTGGAGTGTTATGAGCCATGAGTATTTGTTGTGTGTATGGAGTTCGTAGGCCAGTTGTATGTGATGTCTGAACAAAGGGTTTCTGAAATGATCATGTTGGAAGTGATATGTGGGAATGGTACTGCATACTGGTTGTGTTTATTTGCACTATTTGGAAAATTCATTGAAGGAACCATGCCTCTATGGAAGTGTACTTCATATCATGTGAATAAAGCTGGCTAACTTGTGCAGAAGCCTAAGTTTTTTAACTCATGCCGGAATGTAGTGAATCCAGCTTTTCCTTTATTAATTTGCGTAACATTTAGTGTTTGTAATTTTTACCTATGTTGGGAACAGGGTCTGTACCGAACGTTAGATATTGCCTGGTAAACGAGGAGGTTAAGATTTAATATTTAACTCTCCAACGAAGCTTTGAATAAAATTCGCTTTTCAATAACTTTGTCACCTGCGACAAACTACAGTATGAAGCAATTGTGGCATGCGTATTTATACCGTTCTTACGTTGGATTTTATCTAACCGGCAGTAATGCGTTGCTCAAATTGTTGGTGTAGCAGTGTTCTGCTTGTTCCTTGGCCCCGCTAATTTTCCCCAATATTCAGCGTCATAATACAGTATTCCGAAATCTGGTTAATAAATGTGGAATTTAAGTGGCTAAGAATATTACCTCTATAGTGATCAATTTTGTATGAGTGTCTTTTAAGAAGAAATGCATGTAATTAATTATGCATTAATGAATTGACAACTTGTTTGCCATCCAATAATTTTATATCATAACTTGAAATGTGAAATTTATTGTGTGTAAAGTTAATCCTAACTTATTGTGAGATGTCAGCAGTCATATATAAATAGTTACTCTTGCTTATTTAGATAGTATCCTTGGTAACATCCTTGTTAGGAAGTCACTGAAATGTGTGTATGCTGTATTCTGTAGGCTACAAGTGATTAGTTGGCATGTGGAACTATCTTGCTTGCTGTTAAACTAGAGAGCTAAATAGTACTTTCAGTCCCCATAAACAGGTGAATGTCAGTAATGCTTTTTCGGTAAAACTGCATTATGTTAATTGTTTGGGAAGTGTTTGCTTTTTCTTTCTTTGGATTTATGAAGGATTTAAAAATAGTGTCTGCGACATAAAATTGGGTTTAGTATTCAGCAAGATTTTGTTTTTTCAGAGGCTGTAGTTCATACTGTATGTTTCTACATAATGTTTCTGTTTTGTTTTACTGTGCAATTTGCATAATTTACTAAGGCACTGTAGCTTAATGTAGTTGGAATTGAATGACCATATCAGTCTGGCTGTAGGCTTTGCCATAGCATGGGCAATTGGTTACTTGCAGGCTTCTCATCACAGAAACTGGGTTCACACTCAGGGATTTGTAGACAAAGTGGCACTAAGGATTTTTATCAAGTTCTGTAGTTGTTCCTTGTGAATATCATTCTACTGCAGCTGCCCGTTCACTTATGTGTCACGTAGGTGGGCAGTGGGCCTATTAGCAGCTGCACTTCCACAGCAGCATGGTCTCATTAAGGCATGCATAAATTGTTTACATATTTAGGAGATATCTCCAGGAAATACAAGCCAATACTTGCACATACATGAGAAGTGGAAATAATATTCACATACATTTATTTTACAATTCTAAAGCTGTTATGTGGATGATGAAATCAAAACTGTGTGACATTAATTGAAGTCTTCCATCCCTTCAATTAATGTTTGTATTTTTGTCAAGTTTTGTTAAGATTGTGGTCCGTTACTTAATTATACACAGGAACATCTCTTTCTTACCTTTATAACAATGCAGTGAAGACAAAAACAATCAGGAACAATATTAAATTCATTTAAACCAGGCACTAGTAAGAGTACAAGATTATGAATTGTAACATAATCATATATCATGCATTCATTATACTTTTCTTTAGGCATACTGATTTTAATTGAAGGATTCAAAAATTGATTAGAACCTTTAATATTAGTAGCACTTAACAGAATTTCATATCAATATACTGCATTTGCTGGTTCAGTTTCAACAGTTTGCTTTATGGAATATGGTTGGGAAAAGATTTTTGTTTTAATATTGTCATGTGGAAAGGAAATTAACTATTTTCCCCCTCCATAACAATTTGGGAAGGTAGGTATTTTTATTCTGTTGTGCAGTCTGATTTGGAGTTCAAACTGATGTTGCTAAACTTAATTTTTCTGCATAACAACTTCATATTTTTGGAGTTTACCACGCTTCAGGCAGTCATTTTACGTGGAAGAACTTTGAAAATGTTAGAGGATGGTGGAGGGGTATTTTGTGTGGTAACTTCAAAAAGTCACAGGACATGAGCCATATCTTGAATCTGGTGACACTAGGATCAGCTACTATTTTCTTCTACCAACATTTATGCACTTCTACAGTTTTCAAAGCCACATGAATCTCTGCCACATCCTTGAAGTGACAGTCCTCCGTTTAGGGAAAGTTGGTATGATCATATAGAATGAAATCAGGAGTTGTCAAAGAGGAAGCATCACAAATTGCACATATAGGGACCATGTCTGGAGCATCAGACATATCATTTATGGCTAAACACAGTATTAGTCTGGACCACTGTATACAACTCTTGAGCACCACAAAGTCTAGATACATGGTCTGGATGATCAGGGAGGCCTGTGAAATTGAGGTACATCATAACATGAACAGGGGGGGGATTTCTTTTGCCTGAGCTGGTTATGGAATCCACTTCCTCAAATGATGTAGGAGCCTCCAGTACAGCAGTGCTTTTCCTGACCTGGCCATTAGGCCAGCACATGTCCTTTTCAGGACACTAACCTGGCCCCAGCCAGTTCCTTATTTTCTCTCTCCCACTTCTTACATTATTTAGTCCATATCCCCTTCAAATTTCTCAACTGTCTTTATTTACCTCACCATTTATCCCTCCTATCCTTGTGTGTCATCTACACCTGTCTCCTCCCCTGTTATGGCAGGCTGTGGTCCACACTTCTACCATTAGCTCCCTTGCTTTTACTCAATTCTCACCCTTTTCCCCACAGTCTGACCAGTGTTCTGCTTTGTCCGACTGCATCCCATATGTGAAACCAGCTCATTGCATGTGGCTTTCTCATCACTGTGATGACGGAGGCAGCAAACGTATACCAGACTGCACGGCACAATATCTCAGAAGACGTATTCATACTCGCTACTTTGAGAACTTGAAATCTCACCATGCACATAGTGTGTCATGGATGAATGAACACCAGCGAATACTTGCATATTGTATTTATGTATTAATCACATGATCCTCACACAGCAGCATTGAACCTGTGTTGGCAGAAAGTGCCTCTTCACATACATCCTTACTGGTAATGGTGTAGAAATTACCAACTAAAGTTCTAGCTTTCTTTGCAAACATCTCTTCTGTCTGATGACAGAACATACAACTCCTGTACCTGTCTTACATTGCCTAGGCCATGTATGGTGTGGTCTTGCTCCAGTGGTGAATAAACATGCCTAGGACCAAGACACTTCCAATTACTGCTCAAAGTATTTCCAGCATTTGTCATTGCTGGCAAAATTTGTTATTCCAATGCTTAAAGCAACCCCACTTCAAAATTTTACACTGCATGTTGAAGAGACACCCAGCAAACTGTTCCTGCAGCAGGTGTCTGGTGATGTTTGCAGTATGGAGCAGGTCATTGTCATAAGAAGTGGGCTGTGCCTCAGCAAACCTGGCTGTTTCTATCAATGGCCTCCTTCAGTCACCTCAGCATGTTACAATGTTGTTTGGTATTCACAATAGCCCCTTGCTTTAAGAACTCCATATGAAGCAGGCTCTCTTCTTCCTAAAGTACCATCAGCACCACCTTCCATCCAGACTTCTACCTCTATAAGTTTGTCTTGGTCAATGATGTGGTGTGCTTCAATTCCATGGATGTAGCTTTCGATTTTGAGATGTATGATGCACCCACATTTCATTGCTGTGACAATGCAACTGAGAAATGCCTGTCCTTCCTGCATCACTGTAGCTGTGTCAGACTGAGTTCCGTTTGCAACATTATTTTTGGCTGTCAGTTGATTAGGAACCCATTGTGAAGACACTTTGCAGTACAGTAACACATGAATAATGTGAGAATTCCCAATGAAAATGCTGGTGATGTCAGCAACATCATGAAGTCACATGGCCTGTAGGTTTTCATGACTGGAAATCAATGTATAACTTCAACTTTCATGTGAGAGCCACGCCAAATGTTCAGTTTTAACCATTTTGGCAAACATACCCACCTTGAAAATTGCAACTGCATTGTTTGCCAGAATGTTGGTTAACACTAAACATTTGATTCTCTTACTTGAAAGCAAAAATTACACTTTGAAACATGTTTCCATTTTTGTGTCACAAATGCAATATCATAACTTACTTTGTGAATGACCTTCATAGTATGTCTGAGCTTAAGTATAAAAACAAGCATAACTACCCTCCAACAAATGGAACATATCCAAGAGTAGTTTATGCTCTAAATATTTTCATTACCAGACCAATAGGTTGTTTTAGAAGAGAACCAGGAAGATGCCATCCTCCCAATGACTTGTATGTATTAAGATTGAAATAGCCCACCTGATCTGGTTCTGTGACCCTACCCATCCAGCCAGTGCCCAGACCTTGGTCCCTTATACGAGGAAACCAGGCAAGGGCCTCTCAGCAATGTCTTCTTCATTTAACACTTCAGCACCAGGAAAATGAGTCTCTGGCATTATTGGCTTTAATGTCTTCTATCCTGAGGATGTGTATTTCCTGATGGAAGCAAAACAGACCTAAATTTGACTGGGATGCTTAGCAAAGATTTTGTGGTGTTTCCCCACTTAGAATGTCATAAGACACCCTGACAGATCTTCCAGCCTAATAGTCTTTTTTCACTTCACTTGAACTTACTTGAAGGTATCCCTCTTGTACTTTTGGCTTTATTAAACAGTTTTCTGGTTTCCCAGCTGTGCATAATGAAACTTTTCCTATTGCCTCCCTGTCATCCATATGGGACAGTTATTTTCATTTGAGACAATGGCCTCTGCAGAAACTGTGCTGTTATCTCAATATCCTCCATAGTACCAAAGAAACTCAGAAACCACAGAACTTGTCTCACAGATTCTCCTGATAGGAAGCCCAACAGGTAGTCTGTAGATTCCTATAGTTCACCTTCTCTTGCTCTTCCACGCAGTTGAAGAGGATGTGCCTATGATCCAATAAGAATAGTTCTGGCGACAACCTCCATCCATGAATCTCGCCAGTTCCCTAAACCCAAAGTAAGATGTATTATTTTCCACCTTACGTGGGGAGGAAGGTTGGCTCTTTTCCCCAATTTGTATTTCTAAAGCTGTAGGTACTGGGACTGCAATAATATCCTACTCCTAGAATTGATATCCAAACTCCCACAATAGCAGCCATTTGCCTTTCCCTGCAACACTTAACCACTTCCTCCATCTCTGGATGGTGGGAAATCAGTTGTCATAGTGCAAATATGAAGAACACACCACCAATGTTTTGCCCTCACCAGTGACACTATATTTCACCAGAATCACCACATCCATACTACAAAGAGCTGGAACTGGTGTTGCATATGTACCTGCTGTGTAACACAAGCCCTATTTTCAGTGCATGTAACCAATACCATATTGAACATGTTTGAAATAGTCCAAAATCTAATAACATTCTGAGCAGAGTAGCTCCATTTTCCACTGAAGTTTTACCTTCTTACATGTTTGAAGACATGCCAATGATAATTTGTAGCCAACATAATACATTCTCCTGATTGTAGTCTGTGATTTAAACCTGTAAAAATCAAGTATACACAATGTTTAATAGTTTGAGAAAATTTGTAAAACAGCTTATTGCCTCAGGCTTCTTCTGACTTGTACACTAGCAAGTATAAACATGCAGTAAAGTGAATCAGTTCAATAAAGTCTAATAGTTTTCATTTATGTGGAGATATCTTACATAAACAATGAGGAAGAACTTGAGAATAAAAATGCATCATGCCAGGATTTACTTTCATTTACTGTAACAATACAAATGTTTCTGAGTGGGAAGAAGAAATATTTTCAAATAAATCTTGCAAAGTTCAAATATGTCAGAGCTAAGAGCTTAACACCAACAGGAACTGATGTTTAATCTGTCACTGAAACAGTCTCGGTCTGACTAAAACTTCCACTCTGTACAAAGAACGAGGTGAGATCTTCAATTGGACAAAAGAAGTTGGTTTAACCCTCTGCTATCCTTATTTGTCATGCTCTTGCTTGAGCTTGTAGGACAGCATTTTTAACTATTAGTGCTGAGTAAAATTCACACATATAAAAAATCATACATATCTCAGAATCCACTATTTATATCTGCATTAAACTTTGTCAGCATGCTTACAAGATTCTGAGGATTATGTTTTGGCACTTACTCCCAAGTTGTGCATAAATTTTGAGCCTCAACACCTGTTTCGTTATGGTAGCACAAAAGGTACCACATGCTACAGAGTGGAAGGTCTCATTGTTTGCCACGTCTTGAAGGTGCCCATATTTTTCTTTGCATGTACAATCCATAAACATTGTCCACCCCATAATTTTTCCGAAGCAGTGGAGCAACCTCGGTGATACTGTCCCTAATGGCAAACTTCTCTTCCTGCCTGTATGCTTACATGACGTGTAAGTTCTGATCAGTTGCTGCACTAAATTTTTCCGATAGGTCAGCCGCCTGTTACTATGAGCAGCACAAGATGGTCTACTTATCATGTCATATAGAATGAAACTATTCACAATGCATACATTGAGTATAAAATTAAAAACAAATTTCCACCACTTTTTAGATGAATATGCACACTATAACACTCTTGTAACTGATCACTGAGGTCCACTCCTCCCATGTTGCGTGGAACATCGATAATTCCATATATATCAAGATTCAAATCAAAGCTTCAATCTCTTCTGCATTTGTTTTTCCAAGTTGGAATTGTTTACACCTGATTTCCTTTGTGAGAGAGCAGCATATTAGGTTGTTTCATTTCCTACCACCTCAAAAAAAGGATCTGTCTACAAATGAACTGAAACAATCTTTTTCATTACATTCAGCCAGAAGATTATGGGATGGTCCTTGTAAATTCTCGAAAGGTTCTAAGTCTTCAAATTTCAAAGTTGTGTCCTGTTGCAAGTCATTTTTTGTTGTGTGAGTTGTTTCTTGGCTCCACAACCCGGTTGTGGGTTTTCGCCGCCTCCTTTTCGGAGGTTTCTTGGTCTTTAAATGTGCATTTATGAGTAGCGAGTGACCAGCCCAGACTCCACAATTTCTACTCAATCCTGATTTGACTGCCATAACCATCTAGCAGTTAATCAGGAGACTTGGGTGAGAAATGGCCTCTGAATTTTGCTTACAAAACATCTTGTTTCATGCTCGTGAGGTTCTTTTACATGCCGAAAATGTACGACATGGGACCGGCGGCTTTACTTCCCCTCCGAAGTAAGTTGTGCTACGGATTTTTATCCCCCTTACAAATCCATCGACCTCAGCCGGGATTGAACCCACGAACCTTGAGTCCAGTGGCGAGCACACTAACCACTAGTCCACCGAGGGCAACTTTGTTGTGTGAGTACAACAGAATAATTTAGCCATCTTGCACTGTTTCAACTTCTTCCTCTCTTTTGTTACAGGTTGACAGACAACTATAACTTTCTGAATTACCTTCTAATATATACCCAATTGCACTATCAAACAGAATACGAGAAGTGGCAGAAATGGATTTAGAACATATAGCCACGACCTTGATCTCAACAAGAACAAAACTGCTAACTCTTTAGAATGACGTCAATGTTATTGCTTATAATTAATTATTGCCTGACTGCTGCATCCTACGCAGGACCGATGCATAAGAAAGGCAACAGCAGCAGCCACATTTAATTGAACTCTAATCTTCTATCACTAGAAAGCATCAAAATGCATTTGGTCATGGAGAGAGTCTGAAGCGTTCAGGCCAGAACAGCAACTTTAATGCCTGAGCGTTCTAGAGCACTATGTCCAGCAATGGGTTAATTAAATTCTCTTCCTATATATGAATTAATATTTATTTATCTTACGAGGATAACTCCTTGAATAAGTCTCCTTTTATAAATGCCAGGGGTCTAGAACTATCACCATGATTATAGAAATCAAATCAGATTCACATATTTAATTTCACATTTTCTTGTCACAAAAGCATATTGTACAACCTCCACTGATTTACAATGATTTTGTATGTCCATAAAGGCTGACAGAACAAGAGTATTTTAGGTGACATAAAACAGGAGTAGTCTTTCAAGAGTCAAATAAAGCCAAAAATTATAAAACAGTAAATAGAAAAAAAATAATGTATACAATATTACTGCAAGACGCATGTGACTCCAAGAACAATTTATTGGAAGAAATTGGTTTGTGCCTTTGTATGAAGTTCCCATCTCAGTTTAAATTTAATGACGTCAGAAGTTTCTGCTACTACATTTGTGTAACATGTAATCTACTTCTAAATTATTTAAGACCAAAGCATCTGTTAATGTGCACAAAGGTCTTATTTTCTTTGTGCTATAAATTTGGTTTGTCATGAACATTACTTGCATTTACTCTTAATGAATCCATATTTTAGTCACTTTTTTAAATACATCATATTTCCTTCTTTGCCATGACCACATCTCCCCCTCCTTCCTTTCACATCATATTGAAAACATCCACACTTTTTGCTGACAAAGTCACAAAACACTTTATACAACATTCAACAGAAAAGGAATTACACTCATACCTCATTTAATGACTCAAAGAAGCAATTTGTTTATAACCCATTTCCACTGCAATATCCACAGTGGCAAACAAAAAGCTTGAATGTAGGAACAGTCTTATATTTGTCTGAAGAACAGGGAGGATAGCATATCCTGCTACACCAACAGAACTACTACTTCTTCAGTAAGCACTGATTAAACTTAAAAACACTTCCTTTTTAAATGTGAGAAACATGAAAATGATAATGACAAATTAATAAATATTCTACAAACTAAAAAAGTCACAAACTTCTGTACATGCCTTCATTTCACTGGAATGCATGATCCTTTTCAGCTCAATACAACCAGGTGTACCATCTTAAGTCTTGACAACTGTTTTGTTACAAAAAATCAGGTTAACAAAATGAAGATAAATTTTTCACACCACTCACAGCCATGTCTTCCAACCAACTCTGATGAAGCAAACAATTTATTGGCAGTGACTTAAGTCTTATTTTTGAGTGCAAAAAAAAAGCACATATACACAGACTTCCTTCCCTCCCCGCACATTTTTCCTCAACAGTATTTTTTTTACGTTTTTGAAAGTTGACTATTGTTTTAAGCAGTTCCCAAAACATATCTGAAAACCACACTTTTAACAAATAATAGTTAACACCGTAATATCCTGTCACAAAATTCTCAACACTATCATGTTGAATGGGAACAAAACAGAAATAACTCAAAATGGAACACTTACATCAATCACGGTTGGTCAGAACTTTCTTCACACTCATTCTTAAGGCAGATTCAACCTAACATTCTTACATATTAACTATTTCTGCATCAGGGTGGCTTTTCTACATGTTTTAAATAATTTAGATATACATGCTACAGCCACCAAAACAGTCATACCTCAATCTTATTTTTCAGCTGCACCTACAAAAATATATATATTTTAATGTATGTTATTGTTTTCATGGATTAATTTAATTCCTTTTTCCCCTTTTAAACTACAGAAAAAACAAATTTGTTCCTGAGCAAATTTAAAAGAGGGGCTATTTCTTTTTAAAAGGAACTTACTTCCCAAGTTTCTTGTAGTTACATATATTTTTCCAGAACCATGTGACGAAAGAAACTGTACAAATGGATTACATCCAAACACAGATTTGTTCTTAATAGCATAAAATCTGTTTACCTAACAAAAGAAAAAGTGTAAACACACAGAAATCCCTCTCTGTTGAACACTACAACTGTCATTAACCAAAGGAAATATCCTCATACAGCCATTACAAATCTCACACTAACAAATTCATCCCTGTTGAGAAATAAAACTTAACAATAAAGTTTCACATCATGCTTCAGTGTTGATTGCTTCTAAATTCACTTAATTTATTTCAACTGATAACACTGCCATCATTGTTCCCAACACAGCTTCATTTCAGCCACACCTTTCATCATTATGTGACATTTCCATTCCACAAACTATGAATCTCAATGCTGAAGAAATTTTCTCACATTTTACACAAAACTCATGATAGGCCCTCAATTATCATATCATAGAATTACAGTACCAGATTACAAAACTGTGGTGTTGTATTACCTAATTTACTCTGTATATACACACATAATTTTAAATGTTACTTATGAACAGTTTTCTTTGGCCAGTTAAGTTTCAAGTACTTGCTATTTCACATTATCTTAATATTGTTCTCCATAACAATATTACTTAAAAGTACATCAATGTGTGGCACATTTACATAAGTCTGTCTTCCACTTTCTGATTGATGGCAAACCCACTATAGTTTTGTTGACGCAACTCCACAAAATTAATGTGTAAAAGACGAAAGTCTAAATTATTACAGGAATGAAAGTTTTGAAGTTCTGAATGCCAGTATGAAAATATCTACTACATTTTCTCAGTGCTGTAATGGATAAAGCAAAACCTTTTGACAGATCTGCACCATATCCACTGTATCAAGTCAACAAAAGTGAAAAGGCTGGCAAACACCTCATCCATTATACAACTAATTACAGTATCAAGCCTTTATCTTGATTTCCATTCAGTTATGAACAGCAGCTGAAGCTTGTTGCAGCCTCTCCAATTCCTCCAAACTTAACATGTTTTGTGTTGATGGTATTGGGGGCATATCTGGTAGCTGACCTGCACGGGCTTGTGCTAGCAACTCCGGAGAGAACCATCGTGCCAGTTGGTTGCTTGTTGGTGAAGTTGACATGTCTCTATTACCTTGAAGATTGATTGTTTGGGCCTGACGTCCAACTGGCATTGCCTGTGACTGTTGAGACCTCAGCATACGAGAATCTGAAAATTTAATTATTTTAAATGTTTCCTAGTATTATCCCATACATCTGTGACATGCAATTACTCTAAACCTACACAAGTAAAGAAACAATGGCCACCACATTTCATTCATTACAATACCGATAGCTATTCTCTTGTGTGGTGACAGAAGTACTAGTCACAAATGAGTGTTAATTATTAAGCTAGCAAACATTTTTCATTTTAAGGACAGTATGATTACTACACTTACCCGATTTGCCCGATCCTCGTCCTGCATTGCCATAGTTCTGATTTAGAAGTATTTGCTGCAGAGATGGAGTTGACAAGTTACGTTGCTGCTGCTGTTGCGCATGATGCTGTGCCTGTTGCAGTGTTGCCAAATGAGCTTGGATTGTCTGAGCTGTACAAATTGCACATACAGGTTATATATGGCAGACAGAAGTTAATGAGTTTCAATTCCAAGTATGGCAATACTGCAGTTTAAAATAACATAGCACTGTAAGTAAAGTAAAAGTAAAGTTTGTCCCACTATACGCCATGTAGGCATTTGGGGTGAGTGGAGGTATAGCTCCTCTCTTTCTTGACCTCGGCACTAGATGGGGTGAGTGGTCAGCATCACGCCCCGGCCGGCTTTACCCCCGGGAAAGGACCCCGGTACCCATTGTAGAGGAGTCCAGCCCGTAGCTAGTCACTATACTGACTGAGCTATCCCGGCTCATAACATAGCACTGTACAATGACAAATTCCATGTATTAACGTTATAGTAATCAAATCAAAGAGGATGCCATTAGGTGGACAAAGCTTGCATACAGAATTTTGTTGGGGAAACATCTTGCAAAGGATTACTTGGAAGACAGAGTGGGATATGGGAGGATTACATTACAGTAGTTACAGTGGATTCTAAGCAGACTGAAATGAACTGAAATGATTCAAAACAGTAACAAATGGTGTTCGACATCAAGGCTCTGTTACTAAAGAGGTGATCAGTTAACCTCTATCATCCAAGAATAGAGTATGTAGATACCTGTACTAAGGGCTGGGGACCACATTTTAACTCATGATATTAGTACAGGTCATAAAATGCGGTAGTAAAACATTCTTGAAAGATAATGTTGCCCAGTTGTATGATGCTATACTTCAATAGTACCAGGTTCTTTAGAATATGGTAACAAATCTATGGGTTCCATAAAAGGAAGTCAATCTATTGACTAGGGGAAAATTCTCAAGGACTCTGCTCCATGGAAGATGTCATATTTCAACAGTAAAAATGGTTAATTTTTCACAAAACAGTGTAGATTTCCAAAGAAAACACAGGGAAAATATATAAAAATGAAGGTTGGTCTTCTGGATTGTAACACTGTGGACTGAAGGAGTGAAGATGGAAGCAGAATGTCCTGAAATGTTGGTATATACTTAGAAGTACACATAGCATTACAATCCACAAGACATACACTGACATCTTCACCACTATGAGAACCTCAAATATCATATATAATTAAAAATGTACAGTACTTATATTTTAGTAAATACTCTTCTTCTTCCTACAGTGCATCAGGAGGCTAAGTAGAAGTTTACCTTCATATGGAAAATATGAAAACATGGTTCTGTACATAAGCTGGCTTTGCACTTTGAAGCAATTAAATTCTGTAGTTGTTTTCTTTTTCCTTGATTACACACTTGGTGATATTGCAGATGGCCAATGTTCTATGCATCAAGCTTCAAGACAAGCCATTTGACTGTTAATGACGTTGTCTTCGTCTTGTGCTCCTTTGTACTCATTTATAACAAACTTTGAACTAAAGTCAGGTGAAACATTCAGCAGTCTAGTTTATAACTACAGGATGATATGATATGATATGATATACAACAAAGTAATACTGCTCGATCCAACAGGTGAAAAAGAAAATTGTCTACTTTCATGTTATCTGACTAACCAAAGAAGCTGAGCCATTCTGTCCTCTCTGTAAACTAGCCCATATGCTGAACAGTCTTAAGCAATTCCAGGTCATGAGCACTCCCATATCCATCACAACTGTCTTCTTCTGGTGGTCTGCATCTTTCCAAATCACTGCTATCAAGACACCTTTCACTCTAGCATTTCAATTTCAGTGTCATCAAAACCTGTTGCATTCCTTTACAATTCTGTCTGACAGTTCTACAACAGTTAACAGCTCTTGCATGCAGGTTATCAAATATAACTAGAGAGAACAAAACTGTCCAGGTAAAGTTCACAGCCAATCCCTTCCACTCTACTGGCAAGACTTTTTGTTGTCGCACATGTACTGTTAACAGACTGGGAGTTGGGAAGGCAGTTGTGGTGTCGGAACAGGCGGCCTTCAGCATTCTACTACTATTTCTGTGTAACATCAGCTTTTGCTTGAGTTGTCAGTCATTTTGTTATACAGCACTTACAGTTGTTTCGGCATGTAGTAGAGGATGCTTGAAAATAATTTCCGCTTTCAATAGAGCAATGACTTCATCTACAGCTAAATTTTCAGACTGTAAAATTTAGCATACATGTCACTGAGTACATCACAGGAGTGCATATTTTCCAAAGTCTGATCTTATTTCCAAAGGCTGTCAGTTACCAGTCTTGTCTGGGTGATTACTATTGTTGCAAACATGTAGAAATGCCAGTATAAGAAGACTTCCTGATAGGTACCAATGCAGGTCACCAAGTACCACAACCTCTTCATCACGTTACTCTAAAATAGGGTATATAAGTGATCACTAGCAGACCAGCAATCTTTCAATGTGTCCCGCTCATCATGTCCGATTTGCATGACAAGAGCCAAGAATACATACATCTATGGTACAGTCACGTCAGAAAGTCATGAGCATCCACTGGTAGATCAAGCATGAGGAATATGAAAAAGACCACATGAGATGCTCTAGTATCTTCAATCCAAACAAAAGGATGGACACCATCACAACTGAAAGGGTCCTGACCAAATTTTATCTTGGCTTCTACTCACATTACTGTTACCACTCACGGCCACATCATTGTGTCCACCGAGCTCACGTTCAATGTCAGATGAGTCAGTCTTTGGATTTAGCTCCTGTTCAATTTATATTTTATTCCTCAAAACTTGGGCCATTGTGACAAGAAGAAAATTATATTCTGTTAAGAAAAATACACTAATCCACTCATTCCCACTAGCAAAACTAAAATACAAAGTTTTGCTTCTGTGATCAAACTTTCTACTAATGCCCAGCATCTCATCGCACTTCTTTGGTACTCCCTCATCTCACATTCAGATGCCAAGACCATGAATGTGTGAAAGTGTCATGATCATGTGACTAGAACTTTGACAAATTCACAGTAACTATAACCTTCATAGGATCGTTAATTATGAATATATCACAGATGGAAAGCAAAACAAAATCTTGCACAGAGCAGTGAATAAAATTACACTGTCATAACTGCAACAAAATAGCTCAAAATAAAGGACTCTTTGAGCAATATGACAGTGTTACACACATTCAGATGGAATGCACTTAACAGTGTAATGCATGGACGACAAAGATTAATATTACACTGTTGTAAAAGATACAAATTCTCCAACACTTTGGAAAATAAAAATATTGGCCTGCACATTTATTATCCTTTTGAACTTAAGTCTTTAAACAAAAGCAATATTAGGATGACCAAATCAAGGATGAAATGGACAGGGCATGCAGCTCATTGGCTATAATCCAGAACAGCACATTAACCAATCACTAGTTACTTAATTTCCTATCTCTCTTAAGACCTGTACATACAACTGCTGTTTTCTCAACTACAACATTTACCCTGAAGAAGGCAACTGCAATATTTGCTGGAATGCTAGGGCTTCAACAAATGGTGTTGCTCAAACATGAAAGATGTTCTGGCATGTGAAACACTGACCATGAACAGGAACAAGAATCACCAAGCTCTGTGTGTCATTCTGAATAATACATAAATTTCACTTCCACATGAAACAACATGTACAATTAAATCAGATGGAAAGATAAATGATCATTAACTTAATAGCAGCGTGTATTTCCAAAGTTTATACTGCTCTTAGTATCATCATAAACAATAGTCATATTTTTGTCATTCCTGATCTTTCTATATTTTTAAATGATTCATCAGCAAATTATCTGCCCTGTATTGAGGTAACAATGCATCAGCATATAATTAACCTTTCTATATTCATTTCCAAACAAATGAATTGTAATGGTTACCATATTGCAACTGTATGAATTGGAATTACATGAAGTTAGCAACAAACCTTCCACCTCAATAAACAAATTCTTTTAAGGTAAAATGTAATTGATTATCAGTGAGCTTATGCATAGTATGTGGAAAATTGTAAACGGTTTTCAAATACATCATCTATTTACAAAATCATAAGTAGTTTCACAAAAGTCAGTGTACAAGATTGCTGGATTTTGCCTACTACTATTCCAAGGTTACTACTGTTATGACAAAAGTAAATATTGTAGAGTTTACATATTCTTCCTTATCTTACAGCTGCAGGGTTAACAGGAAAGTGACAGTGACCCATATCAGATGGCAATAATGCAGAATTTCATAAACCTGGCAGTGTCTCACTTAGTCAACCTAACAGTGCAAGTAAAAAGAATATATTCTAAGACATCTTCTGTAAACATTATTTTGTAACACACAGGTTACAGGGAAATTCATGGACATTAATATGAAATGCTGTCACATAACAGCTGCTGGCAAAGACAGAAGCACAATGGTAGCAGCCACTATACAAGACTGTCTATCCTCTTTTCACACTAAACCCAGCTGATTTATGTTACACAACCAGTGAGCCAACAACTGTCATTAATCCATTTGAACAAGTTATTATAGGTTATAGAAGCAGTGAGATTCATCATTGAAGAGACAGGGGCCTCAAACCAGATGATTAAATGCTAGATTTTTTCTTGGATGCAAACAGCCCTGTACTAAACTTTTTCATGGAAGATACATGTCTCTCGGAATGAAAAATATTAACAGTGGCGTCAATGTGATCCTGTAGAATCAATGAGATGTTTAGTGAAGAAAGTGGAAGGGTAATGGGAATTTCTACAATGCATTCACTGATGAAACTGAACATTACCTGTCACTTCGTGGCAGGAACTGCTATCAAAGATAAGAGATTTTCACAGCAGTGAGTCCAAAGATGGCTGTCTTCTTCTGGGTTGTTGCATCATATAGTCTGGTACACTTCTACCAGACTACACGGTGCAACAACCTGGAAGACTGCCATCTCCAAAGAGGTAAGGTTCTTTTTGGGTGATTCTTGATGAGTTCCATTCAATTCCAATCACCAGAAAAAGTGTTTAGATAATTATTTCCAAAAATATTATCCTTCCACATTCAGTATAAAAAAATTCAAGGTGGCCCTTACCTCTAACATTAGAAGACCGATGCATCATCATGAGTGAATTAAATTGTGGAGTCATATTAGGAGGAGGTGCACTGAGTGTTATCTTTGATCGTGGCACACTGTTGCTATAATTACCACCACCAGACATCATTGCATTATGGCGATGCTGCTGTTGTTGCTGGTAGTCAACATTAGCTGCATACTGGAAGTTGGCATTACCTTTAACTATTGGACGTCCTGAAACAACACGTCATAAAACACTTTAGTCCAAAGATGAAAACATGCAATTCACCCTCACATTTCTGTGCAGCCCACTGATAAGGTTACTGCTGAAGTTAAATCTTGGTTTTACAAAATACACATGTACCATATACAGTAACCCCTAATTTACACTTTTCCTCAGGACTGATGAAAAATGGTGGAAAGTGCTGGAAATAAAAAATCAATAAGCTAAGTACCTCCCTTCACCTTCATCCCCAAGTGAAATGCATGTAAGTGTATGTATAATATCAAGCAATGAACATATAATTCCCAGAAACTGATAAGACAAAATGATGTATATACAGAATATTAACTGTTATTGATCTCCAGAGGTTGTCTTTATGAATGGAACCTAGTGCAGTTTACACTTAATAAATGATATTGCAATATTTCTTCCCATGCTTCAGATACATAAAATGGCAGAAGGTAGACTGATTTTCAAAAAACAAAAATTTATTTTGAAGTGGTATTGGAAATTCGAGAATGTGCTTGAAGTATAAAGATGGTGGACATGTAAATTTGAAACCATGCCTCCAACATGACAAACAATTACAAGAATTCAAGATAGATTTGAGACATACAGTACTATGTACATGTGGAAGGAACTATCTGGTAGACTGCACACATCAACAAGGGAAAACACTTCTCCTATGATGTTACAGTTCACACAATTGCAAAAAAAATCTTTAAGGCAATGTGCTATTAAGATCGGGATTTTCACGCCAAGTGCACACAGGATTCATAAAAAAACCAAGTGGAAATGCTATGTGCCAAGGTTATTGGACGCAATGAGCGAAGACAATCCTGCCGCAGACTTGAGTTTTGTGAATGGATTCAGATGAAGATGGGTCAGGATCAACAGTTTCTGGGCATGATTGTTTGGACTGATAAAGTGACACTTGAGCTCAACTGGCATAATTATGTATACTGGTTTTTTGAAAATCTGAACATTAATTTTGACCAGGACTTTCAGTCTGGTGTGATGTGGGACTGTTCTTTGAAGCAGCAGTGACTGGAGCCATGTACCTCAACATGCTTCAAGAATCCAGTGTTCCCACTGTTCATCAGGTGTATGGAGATGACGACATATGGTATCAATAAGACAGGACACCCCCCACATTACCATTGTGATGTCATGGCCTATCTTGCTAACATGTTTCCTGATCAATGGAAAGGACACAAGAGGATCTGTTGAGTAACCCCTCCACCATGATCACCAGATCTAACCCCACCTGACTTTCTCTTGAGGAGTTACAGCACAAAGCCAGCAACATTTCAAGTGCTTTGGCAAGAAATTAAATGGTCTTGTGTAAGCTGACTCAGCAGCAACTTTGGTGGCTGCTTGTCGTCAGATGCTCACCACAGTCATCTATGCCACAAACCTGACATATGTAATGGTTTAGATTGTTAAACTGTCTTTATTTTATTCACTGCATGTGTGTAAACATATTTTTTGGATACCTGTATACAGTATAATGATGAAAGTCTGTCATTTGTCAAACATTACAAACAATTTTGCAAAAAATAAATAAAGTAATTACTTCTTCAAAAATAAACTATCTTAGTTTTTCTTTCCTTGTATGATGCCACTATGCCTCATCAAATATGCACATTCAAATAAAACAAATGTAGTGCACACAACAGCCCTGCTAACAGATTAAATTATAACACCTAACTTTAATGCAATCACACATCAAAAGCTAAATGATGTTTGCCACAGTTACTAACTGATCAGAGTAACAAATGGTTGAAAATAATGGTTAACCTACATCAAAATACCTTATTACTATTTTCTCCCAATTATGCTCACTGCTTCCATCAGCATTGAGTTCTTGAAGTCAACTCTAACCTGAAAAATGACTATCGATCCCACCCTTCCTTATGGTCCCCTTAAATGGCAAATATTTCCCCTCTCAACCTTACTCTATGGTTCCCTGTATGCGCTCTGCTTACTGCCTGAACTGTCTCATAACCCCCTCCCAATGTTTGGTTTTATTCAACTTCGCCTTCATTTCAAACTTCTTCCTGACAGCTTGAAAGGTCACGTTTCTGCTTTCTCCCTCCCAATCCTGCCCACCTCTCTGGTTCCATGAATGGGACCTTCCTACTGGTCCAGACTCTCATTCCCTGGCTTTAACTGGCCAATTCCCCATACTCTAGCCCTTCTAATTCAATTATAAACCATGTACGCACGGAACAATGGAACAAGTCCATATAGCCAAAGCACTGTAGTAATTTCTCTTATAACTCTGTTGTCAAACACTGTATTGCAGCTTATCTAAATATTTAAATTTTAATTCTACCAGGGCCTTGATCTTCCCTAATACTTCTAAAAAATTTCATATCCACTGACTGAATTTGCTTGTTTCTCTTTGCAAGGATCCATATTTCAACATTAAATGTTAGAATCAGTTTAAATATACTTTATAAATTATCAGACTGCATGGATTGGGATCTTTGTGATCCATATTACACCATTTATAATTTGAGAGAATGTAGAACTATTCATATTTTCGTTTTACTCCTCAAATGTCTTTTAACCATTCTGCTACAAATTTTTATTCTGACATTTGTGTCTACATTTCTTGAAATTCTCATAGTCATGGCCAGAATTCTGATTACAATAAATTGGATGTGCCTATTACACTAACAAGTACAGTATCAAGCAGAGTGATGCTTGTTCTTACTCATTACTATGTTAGCCAAACTGCTGCTTGATCAGTATGTACAAATCCCCACTTGCAATCCCAGAATAATTTATTGAAATAAAATTACTGGAACTTAAGTACCACTGTACAGTGAAACCTCGATGCATCGTTTTCGGCGGGGGTGGGAAATAAAAACGATGAATACGGGAAAACGATAGTTGCGGGAAAGCATTAAAATTTTTAAAAAAAAACAATGTTTCTCTTTCAAAGTTACTTCTTTTTACCAAAAAAGTCTTTAATGGACAACTGGTTTGTCAAAACTTTACGTCTTAGGCCAAACAGAGCCCTTTCCACGTTCAAAATGTTTTCCTCGTCACGTTCACTAATATTAAGCGCATAAAAGAACGACTTCACTTTTGCCAATGCTTCGGCAAAACTCGGCACAGCTGCGGGCTCGCATTCATCATCTTCCTCTTCCTCACCACTCCCACCCCCTTCGCGGACAATAACAGGAAG